GGATAAGGAGCCACCGACTAAAGACTAAGCCTGGTTCAGCCAGAGGTTTTATCCAGTTAAAAGGGGAGTTTTCCCCTTCCCACGGTCACAAAGTGCTTGCTCATAGGGATTTGTCTGATTGTTTGTGGGGCTTTCTCTGTTTTATTGTAGGGTCTTCCCCTTACAATATAAAGTCCCTTGGGAAGACTGTTGTTGTGGTTTGGCGCTATATAAATGAAGTCAAATTGAACAGAGATAATGTTAAAAATGCCCACTGTCATGGTCAACTACTGACTACGTGTGCCTTATTGTATTACTCTTGGGCCTTGAGCTCTTTTAAATGCCAGTAGAAAGACTACAACTAAATCTTGATAATACTAAAACCCTGAGGTATTGGAAGCTTAGCACCGATAAGAGTCATAACAAAAGAAAGCACATGTACACCTTAGGGTTTAAAAAATATAACAAAACAATCATGCTTACAAAGTGTGATTCTGAAGACAGCTCTACAATCACACTCTTGATTTCACACCGTTTTATACACAAGCTTCAGATTTGGGCTCATGTTCCCAGACAAGCTCGATTTAATTAGTTTGCTTCCATCAGCCCAATACTAACAGCTATTTTGATGCATCACTGAATTAGATATAGGATACTTACTTGTGATAGGGCACTACTACCCGCTCTGCAAGTGACTTCACCAACTAACTCTATTTTGACTGCCCCTGGTACAGAAATAGTCTATTTGCTGAGACTTACAGTGCTTAGGCTTCTAACAGCCACAGTCTAACTCAATTCTACATTATTGCAACTTAAATGTTTACCTAGCTTCTTTTGAACAGCTGAACGATCAAAATATCTAAAGCAGAAGTGTGCTATCTGTTATCATTACCTTGATAGTGGGTGGTGCAATGGCCAAGTATTTGTCTCCATTGTGGTAGGTGATAGACTCTTGTCCTATGATTATAGCTCCACCAAATGGCTCAGGGACTAAAATACAAGAACACAGACAGAGTGATTATTCTGGGAAGTTTCTGCTATTTTGGAGATGTTTACAGCACAGAAGCTAATATCCTCTGCATTACCAGTTATCAGTAGTGCTGTGGGTTAAATGTATTCAACAATTGAAATTATTCATGACTTGTAAACTAAACTTACACACTTATGAACTAGCAATTCATAGCTCACATCCTTGTGTTTTCACACAGCAGTTTTCGTTATTATCACGGCTATATGTTGAGTTAAATAGTTGAAGTACCTGGGATCACCATTGAAGCCTCAGCCTCCACATTCTCCTGTTTCCAGGGGCCTTTGTTAAACTCCTTCTCCCTCAGAGAAACCTCATAGGTCTTCACATGGCGTCCCTGAGGGTCCTATGAAACACAACACATGGAATAAAACTGGTCACTAATTGCACTTTGCTACTGTGCATTGCTTAGTTACCATAAGCTTGAAACCATTCTCCCGGAATAAATAAATTAAATAGAAATGTCCCGGATATATGAATTTTTCAACATATTCTTTTTTTCCCATTTCATTAAAGGCACATTCCCACATTCTGTACTGCTCATGTACCTGGTAGATGAAACAAACAGTTGGAGCCTGGCAGCCATACAGAAAGTGAACGTCGATGACCTGGAGCTCCTCCAGTCTGATGTTGAAAGCTTTGAGCTCACGGTTGTCCCTGTCCAATGGGATCACCTTAAACAAGCCGTCATACAGCCGCAGGCCAATCATGCGGCATTCTGGGTCTACAATTCCGATGATACCCGTCTCTGACGGACGCCCAATACGATCCTGCAAAAGAGCATTGGGTTAGGAACTGTTTAGCACTGGGAGTGTATGAGAAAGCATCACATTATGTAGCACATAGCTAGTTACATTTTTCCAGCTGTTATAGTCTAAGAAGTCCAAAATGTCACTGATATAAACCATATTAAAGAATACAAGAATTCTGAAATGTTACCTAACGGTGTTTACCAATTTAAATGGCAAATGGATAATTTAAAACAGTCTAAATTAAGATTTATTAATATGAATGTAGTGGAGCTAAAAAAGAGTGAACTGCTGCATTCAACCAAGAAGAACAAAATACATACTGCCCTTCATATGAACACACCATAACAAATAGAATGTCCTTACAATGTGGCTCATGTCTATAACAATATTAGTGTTGTTGTCTCACCTGGACATTGCCATGGGCTCGGGTGATGATGTCAATGCTCTCCCCGGTCTGTTTGTATTCTAGGATGCAGGCGTTGTACTTAGATGTAAGAATGAACAGCAGGTCTTTGCTCTCACCCTGAAGAATGAGGAGGAAAAAGGCACCAGAGTTACATGTTATACACCTGATCAGCCTCTGTGAGCCCGATTAGAAGACAGTGCCTGCATGTGTCATATCCTATTTGTAATGTGCAGACTTTCACTATTTTTGAGAGGCAAAATTTGCACCCTACTTTGTAGATGATTGAGAAACACACCACAGTACAAATCATTTATGGTGCAGTTAAATATATATTAAATAACCAGACCACTAACTAGTCGAGCAGGAAAAATAATTCAAAGTGTTGCCGACTGCACACAAAACCCCTTACCTTGGGCCTGAAGAGCTCCATAACAGCAATTCTGCCATACATGCCCACTTCTTTGACGGGCCTCAGGCCCTCTGCTGTGACCACATAGATTTCCAAACGTGTGTTTTTAGCTATGAGCAAATTGAGGTCTTCAGCAGAGGTGAAGTGACCTGCAGAAAAACAATGGTTACATTATGTTCAATACACTGGTTTTAATGTGAGAGTAGTGGGCACACAGAGAAATTAAAAATGTCCACAAATATCACTAAATTGGGGCATAAATATTCTGGTGCTTCTCAAATACATTTACATATCAGCTTAACTGCTGATTTTTAATGTCTTCTTTAGTCTTTAGCAGCTTAAAAACAACTTACAAGGAAATTATCCAACTTCCTTAAGTGTTCTAATTTATCACAATAAGGAAAATCGCAAACGGTTACTTGTGTTCAAAATGGTCTAAAATAATATATCTTGGCCAAACTGGTTCATTCCATTATCTACTCCAACAAATGTAACTGTGTCAGAGTCAGTGCTACAATCAACGACCTACCATGAAAAGTAGTAATTTCGCAAGTTCTTTAAACATCTTTACACTCTGATTGCACTTGGCAGTATCAATTATCAGATTGCTTAACAATAAAAGTAACTTGTAAGTAGATTTCACGTCTAGACTATTACACGTGAGCATTCATCTCAATTCGTCACCTCATATCATCTCGAGGTCTCTACTATCGCCATGAAAAATAAAAAGAGAGTGAACATGAAGAGATGATGCATCCTACGCAGCCATTTCATGAGTGCATGTCAAACTGTAACTTTAATGTGACAGAATTCCTATTGGTCTAGCCTGAAATACAAAAAGACAGCAGCATAAGCGTCTCTATGAGCTTTAATGCATCACGGTTTTTGTGAGTCAAATGAACGAAAACGTAATCTAGCTTAACTCGTTTTAAGTGGGGCACTAAGTCTGTGTGATATGCTAATGTTTGTGAGCAGAGGAAGCGCATTTTGATCCGCTGCAACTGACGTGCAGGACACAGCTAACGTTACATCAAAAAGAAGAAGCAAGAAAAAAAACGTCTGCCGTGTGTATGTTAAAGCAGACGTGACAAGAGATGTGTGTGTTGAGACACGCATACAAACGAGCAGAACCTATTTGACAAGTAAACCGTTGACATAGCAAAACAAGAGCTAGCGGCTACTACAGGCCCGTTTGGAGCACTTTAGTTGTAGCGCGGGAGCAAAGCTAACATGCAGGTGGCAAATGTTTCCTTACTGCACAACGGCGAAAAACAGCGCGGATTTACCTGTGATGCAGGCGTTAACCGCCGTAGGTTTCTGGGCTGTTACAACGTAATTGTAGGACATTTTTGACAAAAACAAAAGACAAACACCAGAATAGTGTTTAATCTCTCTCAAGTGACAAAATCATTGATAATAAAGCTTCCGGAAGTAGAAAGCTGAGCTCTGTAGAGGTCTGAGATTGAGCGCCGCTAGCGACGCGGAGGACTACTAGCAAGGCAATGATTTTATTTATTTGTCCAACGAAATACGCGGTGCGTTACATTAAACGGGAAACGCATTAGTCAATCGCTAAAAGAAAATATATTCATATGAAATGTACAAATAAATAAATAAAATGAAAGTACAACTCTGACCACTTAGGTGATCAGTAATTTAGCTTATATAAAGAGCTGTAACGCTGCAACAAAATGGTGTTGATATTTTTTTTAATGTTGCAAAAACTATATAAAACGGTCTCTTTTGATACATCCTGCTCGAGATATTAAATTTTTGCAGTTTTATGGGAAGAACACAGAAAAAGCAAATTAAACTCCCAATCCCTCAAGGTATTTCACACACAACAGCTTAAAAACGAGTGCGCCACCAGGATGTTTCCCCTGTAGTGAGCAGTGACCCCTGCTGTCTCACTAGTACTATTACAGAACAAAATGTTTCCTAAATGTTTTCCTGAATAAAAGCGAGTACAAAATCGATTCTCTCACATGTGTAATGCACCGAGGGTGAAAAGCAGTATTTGCCTGTAATACGAAAGATATTTCTTTAATATTTGTTTTTGAATATATCTTTGCAGAAGAATAAGATATCTGCGTTGAATGTCGCTGCATTCATGTAATGACATGCATAATAGGCTATTCATGTACTATAATATTATAATATTAGCTGAACCTCTCACAAAAAAGCACTTTGAAGACAGGTACAGTGAAACAGGGCACTACTTTTATGAGTTGATTGAGTACATGTATCCATGTATCATGCTGTGCTTTGTTGTGTGTTGTGGTATATATGAGCACATTAGGACAGATTCCTATCAACCGCGTCGCTGAACTGGTAACAGTAAACTTGAATCTGAAGTTAATTTTGCCCTTCTTGTTGTATATTGTTCAGCATTTTCGAGTTCACGTTGAACCCACCATATCAGAGCCGCCGCCTGTGAGCGACGAGAGGTATCGTTGCCATGGAAACGCGTCCCCGTGCGACAAACTGACCTTTAATGGAGGCTCCAGGAAACACGAAAAGACACAGCATGAGTATAAAAATACATATAAACCGTGGAAATGACCTGGTAAGTCAACTTGCCGTTACTTAGAAATGATCCCCATAAACCTGTGAAATTTGCTAACACTGCGGCATAACAGTCTAACGGAAGTCTAGGTACGTGTTGTGTATGAAGTTTTTTTTACCTTAAAATTCACGAAGCAACAAATTACCTTGATAACCCAACATTACCGTCCAGCAGTTCCGAAAGAAACTTTGAGGTGTTCACTTCTAAGCTGTTATTGTTTGACAGTAAAAGATTATAGCTCACCTTAAGAGAGCTGTAATATTCCTTTATTCATAGAACCTGGAGTGCAGTATAGGAATATAGCATGCTATATATGTAGCTATAATTTTGTTGCAGTAGATTTCATCATCCTTATGTTCGTGCGATTCAGTACAGTACATATATATGTAGGGATGAAATATATAGAGAATGTAATTTATAGAGAAGAGGAAGTCATCTATAATGGACAACAGTAGAAACCCTCTCCACGTTCTGATGGCTGGCAGGTACCCTCTGTCCTCTCACCCCCCACCCATTTATTAGTTATCAGTCCATTAAAACAGTGAGCAAGTAATCTAGTACTTGGAATGTTGGTAGTTCAATTCCTGGATGTTCCAGTCTGCATGCCAAAGTGTTCTTGGGAAAGGCATTGAAGCCAAAGTCCATCATCCATCAGTGTGTGCGTGTTAGTTTGAGGAAAAAGTATTTTTAAAAAGCGCTTGTATGAATGAGGCACATGGCAAGTAGAGTAGAAATGTGCTATGTAAGAACCAGTCCATTTGCAATCTTTTATTGTATTGTATTGTGTATCCCTCTTTTGAACTTTATTTATTTATGACTAGAGGAATGTTTGCTTTTTAAATGGAGCTGCTGGATATCTATATCTGGATATCTGTTTAATTGTTTTAAGACTTCTCAATAAGCTTTTTAGAGCTTCCCAATGAACTTGTTATCTTTAATTGGTTCGGTTTTTTATCATTACATGAAATTAGAATTGTGTTTGTTAAAAAAAGAAAATTGCAAATATTTTAGGTGGCTATTCTTTTTCTTTCTCCTTGTATTGTTACATAACTTTTACCACCACTTACCACCAAATATATAAAAAAAATACTCAAGTAAATGGGCAAATATCAAAGTAAAATTTAACACAAGTAGCACTTGGTTCAAGATTATTTCGTTCAAGATTGTATGCAGTTATGTAAAGCACTGAAGTTAAAATTCTATTTTAATAATGTCATAGTAAAATGTCAGTCAGTTTTCATTCTCATCATTGACCATCCATCATTGATCTAATTAGAAAACTCAAAGTTAGCTTATGTGTATTTGGGCAGGTCAGCTCGCTCTATATTTTCAGTCCCATATCTCATAAACAGTTGTTTTCTTATCAGCAAAACTGCTTTTAGCACACAGTCTTCTTTTCTAGTTTCAATTCACATTGACTTATCCAAAGAGAGACATAAAAGCAAACAACTTCCCGAGTTATAGGTCTTAGAAGGCTTTGGTAGCATGCGGTACTAATAGCTTACATGGAGACTGGTGGAATATACTTTTGATGTTATGCTAACTACATTTTACTTCTTCAACAAGTATCTAAGTAAATTTAATGTAATTAAAGCTTTATTTTAAAATGTGATATAATCTTAAGTAAATGTTTACAGTTTGCTATGTATTTCTTTACTTTTCTTTTTAGCAATCAAAAAAAGGAGACAGCTTTCAGAGTTTGGTGCGGGTTGAGTTTGATGGAACATTGCTGGGAGAGTCAGATGAGAAGCAGGGTAACCCCATGCAGGACTTTATTGACTATAAATTTACCTGCATCTTCCGCTGGCCAAACGACGCTCAGGCTCTCAGTGACATTGCCCAAAAACCCATTGTATGTAAGTCAAGATTTGAAATATTCTCCTGTCTCTGATAATATGATGAAACTGAAAATGGCACTAACCAGCAGCTGAAACATTTCATTTCATTCTATTTTCTTTCAGTTTGATCAACACTTTTTTTGTTGCTTTTTTTTTTTATTTATTACATTTTTGTTGTGAATACCTTGTGTAATTGGTGACAGGAATCTCCTTGATAACCAAACTTGCTAAAAATGTCCACTGTTGTGTTTAATGTATATGGTTTTGTGGTGGTCAGTGACAGTGATAGAAGTCCTGGCTGAGGAGAAGAATGATGAACCAAGACAAGTGCCTCTGGGCCAGGCTGTTGTTGACCTTCTACCACTGTTACAAGGTACAGCTATAGCTATCCGGTCTTTCCATACCAGATCAGTCAGATCTGACAAAAGTTCCCACCTGGCTTCTTCATAATCAGATGACTTATTTATTGCTCATGAAAAAATGTAAATTCATACTATGACAAGTTTCTGAATTAAAGGCCCTGGAAGGTGGGTTGAAATGTGGTACATTTTTGAGCCCCTAACTTCATAACTGTTGGAGCTAGCCATATGAAACCTTCAAAGCTGCAAAAACAAATTTAAGCTCTATTATAAACTGAAAACAAGTAATTTTATTTTCCCTCACTTAGAGTATAACACTCCAAATGCAAAATCTAGTTTTAATTTGGCAGTTTTTTTTTTTCTCTAACCAACCTTTAGCATCAGTGTACCTACAGTATCTACATTTTCTTAATTTCTGATACCGGGCTCATGTTCTAGCAGTGATCCCTTTTCAAAATTGGTTTCTGATATAGTCAGCATATCGTCCCAGCTAACAGCTGCTTTGTATGGAGGTCAGAAAAGCAAAAATTCATTTCAGAGAGCTTTTCTTAGCAGAGCAGAACTTTCATTTGTTAGAGTGATTTTCTCTTTGTCTTCAGGTCAGTGCAGTTTCTCATCCACAGTCTCTGTCAATTCGGTGCCCAACCTCCGGGCCAAATCTGCCCAGGACACCGGCCTCAAGGTCAGTTGAGGACTCTGCAGTCATTCTCTTGGAGACCCAACGATGTTTGTATGAACATGCTTTTCAGCATGTCTCACTTTTCACACATGGTTGCTGTATGCATACAGCCGGCTGTAGCTTTTCAGCTCACAGCCCGACACACACCAACACAACAGCACAGATAGCACAGACTTTAAGGCGGCGAGGCGTGATTCCGGGTGCCGCTCAGGTGCGTCCGCCTCCCCTGCAGCGGCGCTGCAGACCACGCCCCGCCACACACCTTAACCTGGTAAAATACATATTTAGACAGAATTTTGCAAATATCTATTTTTCATTTTTTAGCAGCATAGTGCTTTTTTTCCAATTAGTTTTTTAAAAGTCAGGTCAAGGCTCCAAAATCCCAAAGGTGATATAAGGGTGGCGGCTCACAGCATCTTTTGTTTGCTGGATCATTTTAGTTCAGCTCGGTGTCTTTCCTTTTGTTATATTTCTTTAAGATTTAAAAAGGTGTTAATTACATAAATAAAATGTAACTTTCTCTGTAGCACTTCATGGATTTCATAAGCAACACACCTTAGTTGTTCACACAAAGCATAAAGGTAAAAAACAATATATACAGTGTTATCTTCATTTTAGATGTCAAAAAGTATTTGCGGCTCCCAGCGTTTTTGTTTGCATGGAAACCGGCTCCAAATGGCTCTTTGGGTGTTAAAGGTTGCTGACCCCTGGACTACACTCTCTGCTATTTTTACATAGCAAAGTAACCCAAATAAATTACAAGTGTTTTTGTGTATTTTTAATATTGACAAAAGATTGAACATCTTCAAATGCACTTAAAAACAGCACTGATCAGACATGCTTGCATATAGTTCTGACTGAAAAAGTGAATTAACAATTAAACAATTATTTCTTATTATATTATTAAGTCTAGATTACCAACACAGACTCTACAATTATTTAGCATCTATTGCCATTTTTCGATGGTTACAGCTAAAGTACAATTTTAAACCAAAACAAATGCCACAATTTGAGACTATTTATTGTCTGGTCAAAAATAAGGCTCCCAGGCTCAAGCGGTATCTGGTAAAAAAAAAAAAAAAAAAAAGTTTAGTATTTAGTATTTTTAACCCACTGACAGGTTGGGTTGAGTATATAAAAAGAGATTCCAAATATTAGTTTTGCAGACATTTTAAAATAATGCATTCAACACATTTGGCAAAGCCTAAGAAGCACACAGTGTGTTTTGTTAAATCAATACTAATTCCAGACATGTAGACACTTTAGTTATATATGAAATGTGTAAAATAACAACTAGAAACAATAGAAAGATAATGGACAGTTGAAAAATAGAATTCACAATTTAAGTTTTTTTTTTACATTGTTTTAAGAGTGTATCCATATTGCCCACAGTTCCCCAACAAAGATAGGAGTGCAACCAGAATGAAGCAAGGATCCAGCCAAGCAGTTTTTAAATGGAAAATGAAGGTAATCCCATTACTCTACAGGGACAGTTATAGTAAGCATAAATAAAATATCCCTCAGATGAGCCTTCAGGGGTTCAGGTCTATCTAAAAGTCCCTGCGCCCCCTTAGTTGAATTCTACAGATTTATGACTAGAAGTCCAAATTAGTCATAGAGTTTGGTAAAGAAAAAGTAAAATACCAACATCACAGGTAAGTTGCTGCTCAAAATCAGTTTAATAATTCAGCTAACAGTAGCTTCATCCATACAGCAACGAGCATGACATCGGAGGGTATTAACTCTGGTGCCCATGCAAGTTGGACTTTGAGAAATACCTCTCACTTTAAATGTGGTATTGCGGTATTATAAATTAACCAACAGCTTTTCTAATTAACACATTCATGGTGAGAAAGCCAAAGACCGGCACTTCATTTCATTTATCATGTGAAATGCTATGCTAGCAAGGTTCAACTCCTAATACTAAACAACCTTGTTGTTAGATTACAAATAAAATGTGATGTGCATCAAATAAAATACAGATAGAAATACAACAGATAAAAAGTGCAACAGGCCAGAAAAAAACAAACTAAGCTGTATAAACTGTTAGTGAGTCCTCTTATCCTTTTCAGTGGCAATATGTTTTTGTTGGTTTATTTTGTTATTTGTTATTGAGGAACATGTTCGTTTTAAGGTGTTGTTAAACATAAGTATTTTTTTGCTGGGTTATGATAAACGAGAAAAAAACAGCCACTTACATGTATTATATGTTAAATATGTGAATTTACATATAATGATAAAATGAGCTTTCATTGCACTCAGGAAATTGTTTAGTGTTGTGTATTATGGTTTGAAAAGCACTTAGGACCTAAGGATTTGTATTCAGTATGGTTAAAGCAGTATATCAATGAAAAATATAAACTGCTCTGCTTTTTAGGTGCCTACCCTCGATGTGAGTGTCAGTGTGTTGGATCCAATACTGTCCGAGGCTGACCTCTCAGCCTCTAATCTACTAAAGGTAACTTTGGAGACAGCCTACTCTGTCCCAGACTCATGGATGCTGCCATCCGGCCCTGCTCCCACTACCTTCACATACACTGCTGCCCTAGAGATCCCTCTTACTGCAGACGTGAGTGTTATACTGTGCTTTTTATGTGGCCTCTTAAGGCATACTGCTCTATTCACACTAGCTTAAAATGTCAATCTTTCCAAGGGTGATGCGTTTTTGACAAATGTAGCTTTACTACTGCTTTGCTCCCAGCAAGACCAAGTGCTAGTGTTCCCTGAAGGGCAGCTGAAGGCAGGGGGGCAGGGAGAAGAAAAGGAACGTCAGAAGAAGAGGCCCCATAGGGACACACTAGCTCCAGAGAACCACTTCCTGCCTGGAGTCTTTTTCAAGCCAGAGGAAATTGATCAGGAGGATGGTGAGCTGACTGCTCGAGAGGTAAATACAAATGCAGCTTGCAGATACTACCAATAATATTAGCTGGAATGTTGCAAAAAAAAAGAAAGAAAGAAAGTTAAAAACACTCTTAAAGTGACCTCGAGATTTGATAATCAGTTTTGTTCATCAGTTTCTTACCTGTTGAAGTTCAGGGTGTGCCTGCTGAGGTGGTGTCAACATTCACTCAGCTTTAACATCGCCCTGGGTTCTCGGCCTGCTTAGCATTACCATTCTGTCTGTACAGATGCTTGCAAAGCAGCATAATGCTAACACAAGTTCCTGGATGCGGTTTGCACTTTACGATTGTGCTCTTGTCCTTTTGTGCAATAAAAATAAATGTAATGTCCATATCCGTACTACAGACCGTGCCATTTATTTCCCTTTTAAAAAGAAGGAAATAAAGTATTAATTTGCACATATGAGACACATGGAATTTTAGATTGGGATTTTATCGTATTTGCTACATCCACTACATCACACTGATGTAGAATTCTGAAAAACAGACAAATTTTCATCCATCAAATGTGATATACGTGTCATTACAGGGTTAGACAGACACAAAAACTAACAAAGATGGGTAATAAGGATCAGATGAACTGGATCAGATTCTAACTATCCCTGTCCCTAACAGGGACACCAACCTTTAGCATATCCATCCATCCATCCATCCATCCATCCATCCATCCATCCATCCATCCATCCATCCATCCATCTTCATCCGCTTTATCCGAGGCTGGGCCGCGGGGGCAGCAGCCTAAGCAAAGAGGCCCAGACCTCCCTCTCCCCAGCCACCTCCTCCAGCTTATCCGGGGGAACACCAAGGCGTTCCCAGGCCAGCCGAGAGATATAATCTCTCCAGCGTGTCCTGGGTCTGCCCGGGGCCTCCTCCCGGTGGGACATGCCTGGAACACCTCACCCAGGAGGCGCCCAGGGGGCATCCTTGTCAGATGCCCGAACCACCTCAGCTGGCTCCTTTCGATGTGGAGCAGCAGCGGCTCTACTCTGAGCCCCTCCCGGATGACCGAACTTCTCACCCTATCTCTAAGGGAGAGGCCAGCCACCTTTCGGAGGAAGCTCATTTCTGCCGCTTGTATCCGCGATCTCGTTCTTTCGGTCACTACCCACAGCTCGTGGCCATAGGTGAGGGTAGGGACGTAGATCGACCGGTAAATTGAGAGGTTTGCTTTTACACTCAGCTCCCTCTTCACCACGACGGACCGGTGCAGCGTCCACATTACTGCAGCTGCAGCCCCAATCCGTCTGTCGATCTCCGGCTCCCTTCTCCCATCACTCGCGAACAAGACCCCAAGATACTTGAACTCCTCCACTTGGGGCAGGAACTCATCCCCGACCCGGAGTGGGCACTCCACCCTTTTCCGGCTGAGAACCATGGCCTCAGATTTGGAGGTGCTGATCCTCATTCCCGCTGCTTCACACTCGGCTGCGAACCGTTCCAGTGCGAGCTGGAGGCCCTCACCCGATGAAGCCAACAGAACCACATCATCCGCAAAAATCAGAGATGAGATTCTGAGGCCACCAAAGCGAAAGCCCTTCGCCACTTGGCTGTGCCTAGAAATCCTGTCCATAAAAATTATGAACAGAACCGGAGACAAAGGGCAGCCCTGGCGGAGCCCATCACCCACCGGGAACGAGTCCGACTTATTGCCGACAATGCGAACCAAGCTCTTACAACGGTTGTATAGGGGTCAAATGGCCCGTAGCAATGGGCCAGACACCCCATACTCCCGCAACACCTCCCACAGGACACCCCGAGGGACACAGTCGAATGCCTTCTCCAAGTCCACAAAACACATGTAGACTGGTTGGGCAAACTCCCATGCACCTTCAAGTATCCTCGAGAGGATAAAGAGCCGGTCCAGTGTTCCGCGACCAAGACAAAAACCGCATTGTTCCTCCTGTATCCGAGGTTCGACTAGCGGACGAACTCTCCTTTCCAGCACCCTGGCATAGACTTTCCCAGGGAGGCTGAGGAGTGTGATCCCCCTGTAGTTGGAACACACCCTCCGGTCCACCACCCCGGTCTGCCAGTCCACAGGAACTGCCCCTGATGCCGTCGGGGGGTTCCCCGGAGGCATCTTCCTTGGGGGGCTCAACCCGGGGTAACGGTCATGTCCGGTTAGGGGCTCTGTTGGCTCTGAGGTGACTGTTTCCTCGTGGCTGTGTGCAGCGGAGCTAGGGGAGGGTCTGTGCTGACGGACGTGGGTTACTGACCTGGTAGCCTGGCTGCCCCTGGGTGGGTCCAGGATGGGCGTGAGGTTCTGGGGGCGCTCCGTCTCTGGGCTGGGACCCGGGCCTTGGGGGCTTGGGTCCTGGTTGGTGTGTTGCCGGGGTTGTGGGCGGGTGGGTGCATGGGGCCCAGCCCTGGAGCAGGGTGCCGCCGGTGCATCGAGCCACCTGGGGGGCTCTTCAACTGGTGGGGGAGATTGTAGCATCTTGCAGGAGCGTTCCTCTCCTCAGGAGCTCCCTCTGCAGGAGGGGGAGATACAGGAGAGGTGGAGGAAGATCTCAGCCTGGGTGTTTATTGTCTTATGTAGTCTGGAAGATGAGTGGATGGTGGGTGGGTGCAGTTTTCTCTGTGGTGGGTTGGGTGGACTGTCCCGGGCTCTGTGGGGCCGGGAGGCGCTGCTGCACTGGGCCCCGGTCTGGATGGGCCTGGGCCCCCTTTCCCTGGCGGGTCGCGGAGTATGGGGGTGCCTACTGGGGTCAGCGGGGGAGCTGGCCCCAGGGAGGGGTCACTTGCCCCTCCCTTCCTTCCCTCCCCATCTCCAGCTGCCTCCCTCTTCCCGCTCCACCACAACCACCCACACATGCAGGGCCTTGGAGTAGGGGTATGTCACCAGGGTGCAGAGGAGGCTACCCCCCCTCTGTCCCCTTCTGGCTACCTCTGCCTCAATTTTATCCCACAACTTAGACATTCACATTACTCACACTCTCATTACACATACATATAGGATCTTGGGGGTGGGCACGATACACGGAATCCAAAGTACCATCAGGGTGTACACCCCACCCCTGGCGTCGTTGCCCACCTCTCAATTTTAAATACACGTAGACATTGAGGGCTAGCAGGAGGGACCATGCGCTTACCTGCTGCTCTCTGGCAGGTAGCTCCATGCCCTCCTGGGTTTTAAATGCACCTTAGAACACACATGCATCAACACTACAATGAGCGGGTGGAGGGAGGTTTGGAGTCTTCTCTCACCCCCATTCTCTGCGACCTGCTGGAGCGGGAGGGCTAGGTGGAGGAGTTGGCCGTCCGACTGCGGTCTGGAGTGTGGGGCCTTCCTGCTGCTGCGGAGTCGGGGTGGTCTGCCTCCCCCCACCGCAGGGAAAAGGGTAACACCACCTGGGTCTAGGTGCAGTTCCCCCCTCCAGGGGCAAGGGTACCTAGACCCGGTTTGTAGGGTACGCTTGGGGAGTGTGATCGTGTGTACAGCGTCTCTTTATGTCTGTCTCCACGTTGGTTGAGTGTGGAGTAAGTGCATATGAGAGCATGAGGGTGGGAATGGATGTTTGTATCTGTGTGTGCCTGTACGTCTGTGTCTATATGTCAGGTTGGGTGTCAGGCGCCACCTCTCTGGGGACATCTCAGGCCCTCCAAAGTTTGGAGGCCTATCTCCCCCTACCACCACTTCCCCTGCCAGTGGCCGACTCCCTCAGACATCGGTGCGTTGGTGGTTCTTTGTGTCCGGGGATGGGCGTCCAGGTACACACCGGCTCACTCCTTGGCGGCCGCTTATCGGGGCCTGGAGCCTGGGGCTCGCTCGGGCCACTTCGGAGGTGGGGTGCCCCCGGCCTCTCGGCCTGGGGCTCGGTCACTCAGGCACGGCTGGCTGCCGGCGGAGCTCACAGGCGCGTCACTGCAACTCCCCCTGGCTTCTGCTCTGCGGCTGCTGAGTGAGCCCTCATCTGGGACTCTCCTCAGCTCTTTCTGGGACAGTGGCGCGGCTGCCCCTCTGTTGGTCTTCCTTGGTCTCTTGTGTTCTGGGGGCCTCTGGATGTCTGGAGTTTTGATCTCCTCCATACCTGCTTCATGCCCTGGAGGACGGGGCTGTGGCTCCCCACACCCTCTAGCAGATCATTACATGACGGAACCTTTAAAAAAACCAAAAAAAACAAGCGCGTCCATGCTCACAGGTGTACACACGGGTGATCACACCCACAAACTACACCCTTTTTGGCTCCTACCTCAAAGCACACTGTGTTCTGTTGATCTTATGTGCTGCACAATAATGTTTAATATTTAGTATTTACTGTCATATTCCCATATATCATTGTGATGTTGTTTATTCTATTACTCTTGTTCTCTTCTGCTTGTTTTCTTATTTCTTTCTTAGCAGGTGATCCAGGTGATTGATATATGCATTTTTTTTTCTCTGCCCGTTCTGTTGGTTTATGTTTTTTGCCCTTCTCCCCCGTCCCTCTTCTCAGCTGTTTCTCTTTCCCTCTTTCTTTCTCCCCTTCTTTCCCCCAGTCAAGTCTGTCCCGTATTCAGTAAGTGAAAATAAAATAAACAATAAAAGGTGAATCAAATGGACCATTACGGCAAGGCTGGGATGGTCAATTTGGTAAAGTAAATCCGTTGGGCATCTTTGTTTGCCTTTAGACAACAATTCTGATGGCAAAAGAGCCAAACGGGACAGGCAAAAAAAAAAAAAAAAAAGGGAGGCTGAGGAGTGTGATCCCCCTGTAGTTGGAACACACCCTCCGGACCCCCTTCTTAAACATGGGGACCACCACCCCGGTCTGCCAGTCCACAGGTACTGCCCCTGATCTCCACGCAACATTGCAGAGGCGTGTCAACCAGGACAGCCCTACAACGTCCAGAGCCTTCAGGAACTCGGGGCGGACCTCATCAACACCAGGGGCTCTGCCACCAAGGAGTTGTTTAACTGCCTCAGTGACCTCGCGGGTCATTCCCCTCATCCCCAGACTCTGCTTCCTTATTCATATCCTTATTCACTATATCCATGAACCTCCTCTGAGGTCTTACTCTTTTCCTCCTGCTTGACAGCTCCCTCTTTATATATTTGTCCACTCAACAAATCAAGAACTGAGGAAAATAATAAAACCCAAGAATCAATGTCGATAAACTCAAAGGAAGACAAAAACTCAGAAATCTCAGAAAACCACAGATAATCCAAAAACCACAATTCCATTGAAGATAACAGCATGTGAAAGCTTATTTACAGGCTTGTGGTGTAAATGTTCCCACAGGACCGGGCATTTCGTGATGAGGCAGAGACCACGAAGAACAGAGTGAGCTGGGACACAGAGATGTACTGCTTTCTGGACGCAGGGGGAACTACAAGGTTGGAGGCTGAGCATGCAAATCACTCCTTTATTTCTCTGTGTACCGGACCACCATGCTACCTGCTGGCTACAATTTTACGAATTTAATCTAGAAAGGGAAAGTCAGTCACCAGTTTCTTTGTTACAGAACACATGTTATAGCAGAGTCTAAGAGCAGGATTTCCTTATTCAGAACATTTCAGGCATGCAAGGAAATCAGAAAGTAATGAAAAAGGAATTTGATCTTATCACTGATTTTAGGCACACAGTGAGCATGTGATCTGTGCAAGTATACAGTAAGTAAATAGGCTTAATGCTTAGAGTAAAGGTCAAATGTATGAAAGAAAAAACAACTAGTGCAGTGGTTTTCACAAAGGCCCACATGAGAAATTGGGACTGTTGTGAAGGGCTGCACCAATAAGCTGAACTCAGTTATTATGCTCAATATTAACTGTATCACTATAAAACGCTACTGGTAAGAGTAGATGTTACAGCTAGACAACGAAAATGTGAAATATCCATAGTAAAAATTAAATTTTTTTTTATCACAGTTTAGTCAACATTCTCCAAAATGACACCTTTTTTCCTCAGTGAAAGAAATCTAGTCTGTTTTACCAACCCTTTGTTTGCTTGGCAGTAGCACTGAAGTTGAAACTCTCTCAAACAAATACATGAATCCACTCCTTGTTTCTCTAAGTATCGCCAAGACAACAATAGTTCTTAACTGGAAATCAAAGAAATAGTTACATATTAACATCCAGACAAACCTTCTCATTGAAGACACACATTTAGAAACCATGACATTCTTGCAAAAAGACAATAGAGCTGTATTTATCAACATTTTAAACCCATTTTCTGAATTAATCATGTTGATTATTATTATCATTGTTGTTGTTTAATGGTAAATGGCCTGTATTTGTATAGCGCTTTACTAGTCCCTAAGGACCCCAAAGCGCTTTACAAATCCAGTCATCCACCCATTCAAATCAAATCACTTTTATTGTCACATCAATATTCACAATGATATATGGGAGTACTCATTCACACACACTGGTGATGGCAAGCTACATTGTAGCCACAGCCACCCTGGGGTACACCGACAGAGGTGAGGCTGTCGGACACTGGTGCCACCGGGCCCTCTGACCACCACCAGTAGGCAACGGGTGAAGTGTCTTGCCCAAGGACACAACGACCGAGACTGTTCAAGTCGGGGCTTGAACCGGCAACCTTCCGATTACAAGGCAAACTCCCAACTCTTGAGCCACGATCGCCCCAATTGTTGTTGTTGTTTATTTTGCCAGAACAATTTAATATGTGACCTTGGGACTGGTGGGATCTGGAGTTGCTCACTAGGTGGGTTTGGGCTGTGGTGGTACCTCGGGGTGGTCCTGGACCTCCATCCACTGTGCCCCATCTCTCATGTTGTCGGCCAACTAATGACATTGTCTTTGCAACACATTAGGAAACAAAAATAAAACAAAGGAATAAAGAAAGGAAAAAAATAATAATATAAAACAACTGTAATACACATGAAAGGGTAGGTTAAACATGATTAAAGTGGGATTCGCATCTCACAGTGTTTTGTTATTACATCACACAAGATTAGGGTTACCAAAAATATAGCAAGCTTTTAATATAACAAAAAAAGATCAAGGCAGTCATGTCAGTGTAAGCCGATATAGGTTGAATGGGTGCTTCTGGGTTGGGAGGTGGGAATGGGATGTCCCCTGGGCTGCACCCTCCATGCCTTTGGTGAATTGCTCTAGGATGATGGAAAACACAAAGAGAGAATATAAAAATGTGTGTATCAGTACTGATTATAATTTCAGGCTGAAGCAAAGGATAACTAAGAGCAGATTGTGGCCAGTGGAGATCATGAGGTCATTGGCTCCATTATCAAAGGTTAGTATTCCTTTTTATTCTCTCTTCTTTGGTGTTTGGATTTCCAGTATTTAGGATATCATATGCAATAAGCTTAGAAAAAACAACATGTGATTTTAAGTCTAACTGAGATGGAGACCAGACCAGACCTGTGTGTGTTTGTGTGTAGTTAGGTGCTGAGGACTCAGAAATCCCCTACCATGGTTTGGCATTTATAGACTTTGGGCAGCTGCTGTATCCTGGAGTCCAGCGAATCCGAGGAGCATACAGCGTTCAGCCTTTCTCTGAGGAAGATTTGCTGAATAAGGTTCCAGTAACACACACACATCACTCATTTGCTTTAAATTTGGTTTCCTTGTAAAATATAAATAAAAACAGAATGGAGTACTTAGTTAATCTCACAAACCAATATTTTATTCACAGTAAAAATCAGAAAACAAATCAAATATTAAAACTGAGAATGTATATTTATGCGTAAAATATGGGTTTATGAATTTTGGAAATAATTTTACTCTCTTTATAAATACAATTTACACAGTGTTCCAACTCTGGGGTTGCAGTTGATATTGCCTTTATTTAAATAGGGCTGTTAAATTGCTATGTGAATTGTTTAACCTCTCTTGCACTCAAAGGCCAAGCGAAGCATCAGTGTTTTAAAGGAAAAAGCTAAGGAAGCTGCCAGCCAGGCCAAAGATATTGTCAGCTCTAACAAAGCAGGAAAGAACATGAATGGAAGCAACAAGGGACCCACAGATTCCAATGAGCAAGGCAAAAAGGTCAGAAAAGTTTTGATGGTCACAAGTGAATAATTCTTTAGAGTTTTTATAAGTTTTCCAGCATAAGCAAAGTCCAACAGTTCCTTTTCCCCCCTCAAACAATTAAACCTGACTTCAGTTATAAGAATTTAGACCATAACATAAAGTTTTTTAAAATTATATCAGCAACATGCAAATCACAGTGAAGGAGCTGTGCCATTAACTGCAGCTGGCCTGCAGTGATTTATATGAACCTGAGCCACAAGTCAATGCCGAGGGAACCCTAAGCTCCATGTAAACATCAACATAACTCTGCACAGCATTAGCGAAGAAATCAATAAAATTATCAGTGTTCCCTCTAAGCTGCGCGTGTGCGCAATTGCGCACTGCTGGCACGGTCTCTGCGCACAGAAAATCTGCGTTGCGCACACACACAAAAAAATCTAACCTGAATTGAAATTAAAATCAATACTTTAACAATTCTGTTTTGCAGTGTTAGTCAGTAAATGACTGGCTGCTCCCATATGGGATCCAGCCAATAATGCGATTCACATTCGTATATACAGTATGCAGCTAATCGATGTCGTTGACAGGCTATGACAGCGTCCTTATGTGCCGACACCGGTGTTTTAGCTAGCAAAGCGGCGTGGCGACGTTTAGCGCAAATCTTGTATAGTTAGTGTGTATTGCAGTCAATAGTTTTGTTGTGTGTGTCAGAACAACTGCTGAATGTTACAGGTGTTACAGCAGTGATGCATCTCCTGTTGTCAGGCCTGCAGGTATCAGGTTGTTGTTCTCCTTTATCTCGTAGTGGACTGAAATTATTTTTGGGGTGGCACAAATAATTTGTGTGGCATCAAATTTGATGCAGAACAGCTGATTGTTCTGTAAATAATTTGAAATGTTTATTTAAAAAAATGCCTTGGCTGCATTTTTAGGTAAACAGCTGCAAAAAACTTTGTTGTTTGCATAACTCAGTTACTTTTTTGAAGAAGTAACTATATAATTCATTGCCCAACACTGGTATATACTGTATTTTGCAGACAGAGAGTTACAGGACTCTCCCCCAGACCACAGACTCATACTCATAATACAAGTCAGAGCTTTATAAACAAAAAAACAAAACAAAAAAACAAAACAAAAAAAAGTTGTGTCTTCAAAATTGGGGTTTAAGTTATTTTTACTTCCAATAGTGTTAAGATACTACACAGGTCATGAACAAGATTTGTTTAAATTTTCATTGTAAGTGGGCTAAAGCAGTTAATTAAAAGTAGTCTAACATAAATGTAAATGCTGTAATTTGATTATTTTAATAAACCATGTAACTTGGATGGATTCGATGCTGGTGTGACCGCAGTGCACACGTCTGATGTTGCTCACAGTGGTCCAAGGGATCGCTCAGGGAGTTTGTGTGTTCACTCAGAAACATGAATAAGTAGAGCGAACATTGATTAGGAGAATTTACTGGAGACTCCAGTACCAGTTGCAATTTAGTACAGCTGAGCAGAGATCAGCAGCAGTAGATGCTCAAACTTACTGCACATCCTTATTACTGCAATATATTATAAAGTCGTATTTAGCTGATGTGTTTTCTGTTTAAGCAGAAATTTGGAAAACTTTAACTCTTCACTTGTGTTAATGGCAGATGTATGTGGAGGCCAGAACTTATATTATCATTGAGATAGCCTTGGAGAAACCGCTGGTACCAAAACCATCACCAGAAGAGCTAGCCCAAAGGTAATGTGCTAATTAAACCATGTGGTGACTGAGTCTGACCTGCTTCTTTTGGCTCCATTATTAGATTGTAGCACCGAGATAGAGTTATACATTTATCAACACTTTCACACACACGTAAGTGTTAAATTTAGTAGTTGCCCCCTCTGTTTCTGACTGACTGTGAAACACAAATGAGTGAGTGTATTGAGATGTTTTTGTGTATCTTGCAGGGTGACGGCATTGATCCCTCCCAAACCTAAACGTCCAGCTGGTCCTAGTAGAGCAGAAAGAGTAAAGCACACACACACACACACACACACACACACACACACACACACACACACACACACACACACACACACACACACACACACACACACACACACACAATGAATTGCCCAATCGAGGAGATTTGCATGCTTGATGTATTCTCTCCACCGGTGTGTGCTCCTGCAGGCTGTGCTGGACTTCCACAGGCAGGTAGCAAACACGGTGTCCCATGTTTCAGAACAGTGTGAGGAACTATTTGGAACAAGTTGTGAAATTCCCCAAGACGACAGCTTGGAGAAAATGAAGATTCAGTTGATAGGAGCGCTCAATGACTCTGGGAGATACTTTGTCTTCAAGGAACAAATGAAGGTCAGACCAACTGCCCACATCTATGATGGATTAATGAAATTTACAAGGACACTGAAACTATTTTTAGGGATCGATCTAATGGTTCTGGTCATATTTTTCTTCTACATTAGTGTCATTATTTCTCCACAACGGCTTGTGTATATTTCTGGTTTGTAGCATGCGGTGGTGAGGATCGTACGTGACAAGATGAGGCGGACAGAGCCGTTCACGGATGATCAACAGCTGAAGGAATTTGCCAGCAAACTCTATGTCTACCTGGTTGATGAGATGCACGTTGCTATGAGCAAGGTACCAAACACACACTTTCATATACAGTCTGTGAGGACATCTTTTGACTTTTTTGTTTTATCCTTACTTCCTTAACAGATTTATTCTCCAGATGCTGTTGAGGGCTACCCAGATAACATCCAGTTACACTGTTCTCAGCTCTCACATTTTGCCAGAGAGGCACAGCTTACTGGGAATTACGAGCAGGCTGCATATTACTGGAAAGAGGTATAATAACAATGCTCTAAAGCTCATTGTGAAAAAAATAAATAATCAGGAAGATTTATGTAAAAAAAAAAACAGAATAAGGTTGACAGACAACTATTTGCCGGACAGATTTAATTACTTGTCAGAATGTCATATAAAGACTGGGTTATATTTGTCTGTTATTCTCAAGAATATTTATAATAATGTTATGTTTGAATGTTTTTCTTTTGTTTCGTCAAGTGGACACAAGTCACATTGCAGCACTGAATAATGATAATGGTTGTTAAAATATATGAAGTGGTTTCTGATATTTTTTTATTAACCTGCAGCTAGTGGTCAGGCACCCAAATGAGCCCACCTATATGTTTGAGTGGGGGGGCCTGTACATGCTGACCGGAGACTACCTGAAGGCAAAAGAGTGTTATCATGATGCTGTGTCTATCGACCAAGTGCACCAACCCAGGTTAGAAATGCACTCCTTACAATATTGATCTTCACTTTAAGCAAATCATTAATTTAATAAGAGATTAATTATTGAATAATTATTTTAGCCTGCATATTATATATATATCTAAATATTATAGAGTGTATAAGTATAGTCTAGCAATCAGCTCAATTCTAAATCATGATGGTATATTATTTGTATATTATTATTTGACAGAGGAAGAGAGATATTTAGAGTTACTTCCTGTCACAGTATTCTTCATCTCCACTGTATTTTCTGACGTCACAAGCAATGAACCTACCTGCTCGTGTTTTATCTTTTATTGGAACATGGTTCAGTGGTTACTTACAATACAACTTTATTTGTATAGCACGTTTAAAAGACCAGCGGTACACCAAAGTGCTTTACAATAAAAACAGGAAAATTAAGACATGATTAAATAATAGACTATTAACAAAGTAGGGAATATAAGAACTATGTAACAAAGTTACTAAGAAGAGATATAGCTAAAAGATAAAGTACATAAATGAAATATTGAACCACATATAAAATGGGGACACTAACTAGATGGAAAAGCTATGTTGAATAAGTGAGTTTTTAAATGGGATTTAAAAGATAAAATGGAGTCTGACGCACGGATAGTGATAGGAAGGTTGTTCCACAGATTAGGTGCAACCAGGGCAAAAGCACGGTCACCCCTAGATTTAAGTCTAGATCTAGGCTGAGCCAAGAGTAATTGGGCTGAAGACCCGAGGGCTCACCCAGGGACATATAGACTAAGAAGATCAACAAGATAACGAGGGGCTAAATTATTTATCATTTTAAAGGTGAGCAACAATGTTTTAAATTCAATGCGATACTTTATGGGTAACCAATGCAAATCAATAAGAACAGGCGTGATAGAGGCATGCTTTCTAATGCCAGTCAGGAGGCGAGCCGCAGCATAAAAAACAGGTCGTCAAACAGTTTCACGAGTTCAAGACCGATGTTTCTTTATCCTCTTCTTGCTCCAGCCTGATGATGTGTGGGGTATTGGCAGTGATGTTTGAGCATTACAGTGAGGCCCAGACTTTCCTTGAGCGAGCCACCAGCCTAGACCCTCTCAGCGTGGTGGCCTGGACACTGCTGGGTGAGATGAGGATCTGTTTTGCTTCCTGCTGCTATTGTATCAGTGAACAGCAAAATGATACTACCAAACTTCATTTGTCAGCAGCTATTACTGTTTGTTGTCTACCCCCAGTGTAATGGAGGCCCCGCAGGTTACTCAAGACAGTTTGACTGTTGTGTGTGACTTTCATAGATTTAGGTTGGTTTGTAAATCTGTCTTTAAAATATCCAACCATCATCTTCAATTTAGGGTTGGGTGGAGCCCAGTTTGTCATAGGGTGAGAGACAGGGTAGACCCTGGACTGGTCTCTTTAAGAGTTGACACAGACTGAACAGACAAAATGATGAACAAACAAAAAAACATGAATATAAAACAATCTGTAACCTAAACACCCACAACAATAGTGGAAGAGGGATGCATGCTGGGGAACGTGGAGTAACCTTGTTGGGTGTTTGCTCCAGGTTTGTTCCATGTGGGTCAGAACGACTCCATCCAGGCTGCGAGGGCTTTTATGGAGGCCACAAAGCTGTTGAATGCAGAAGAGGCAAAAAAGCAAGAGCAGAGCGAGGAGAAGGGGGAGAAAGACAAGGAGGAGAAACACCAAGAGGAAGAGAACAAGCAGGAGGCAGATGAAACAACAAACTCTCCCAGAGTTATGCAAGGTGAGGAAAACAAAAAAACAGAAATACAGACATATACAAGACAGTGTCAAGTGCAATAATGCCAGTCTATGCATGAGTTCAACCCATTCTGTTCCCCTGAGCCCCATCTCCCTGTCAAGGAACTACTTTTGTTACTACTCTGTCTGCTAGAGCTCTCATGCACTTCAGCCCAAAGGGCATAGGGCAGAAGAAAATAAACCCTTGGAGTAACTGATTTTATCTGACTGTGTAGCTTTATTTTTCTCCTTTACCCAGAACTTGTTGACCAGGATTCAGAGATGCAGAAAGAAGAGCCTCCAGCACCGAGTGTCAGCTTGAAATCAGCTCCTGCTACTATTTACACACAGATCATCCAATTCCTGCTGCAGAACAATGCACTGCAGGTAAAACATACCCAGCGTGTTGGTTTGTACAGCACTGTGTGAACGTGACCATCGGTTTATTCTGTTACCGCACAAAAAGGGGCATATTACATATGGCAATCTGCAATTTCAAAAGACACTTGGTTTTAGAAACATGTGTTAGTGATATGTGTTTTATGAAAGTATGATAGCATCAGTTGCAGTTTATCATTTTGAAAAAAGATTAGATTTTTCTCTTTATTTATATTTTTGCAATTTTTAAAAAAAGTCTTATGTAATATTGGGAACAATAAATGTCTAATTTTAAAAGCTCTGAGCAGTAATGTTTGAACAAAAATAAAACAAATGAAAAAAGCAATAGCCGAAATTGCTCAGAGATGACTGTTTTCTGTTGTCAGATGGCAGAAGTCGCTCTATCTGAGGAGCTCCTATGTTCAGATGGCGGTCGCAGTGCTTCCTACTTCATTCATCTGGCCCAGTTGCAGCTGCTTAAAGCAGACTACTGCAGTGCTGCTGCCAACCTCAAAGAGGCACTGTCCAGCATAGATCAGGTACTTCCACACTACCTCTGGCTACAACACGAGTATCGACTGGGTGAGGAATATTACATGAGTGTTCAACTGCATGTAGGGCATTACTTTTCCAGAAAGCATTTGGTGCTCTGTTTGTAAAGTGTGAAACCTGCAATTTATTGTCTAATTTATCATGCTATTCTTTTTTTTATCTTCACTAAACACCAAACAAATGAATAATAAATAAATATATTTGTTATTTTTATATTTTCAAGGTGCATATTTATTGTATATGACAAAGTAATCAGTTACAGCCACTGTTACTTTTTGATGCTCACCTTCTATAGATATGCATGACAACACATTCCAGTGTAGGATCAATTACTACACATAATATACATAATTTGTAAGGAGCTGAGTGTTATAAAAGTAATTCCCAAAATCTAAGTGAATTGAAATCAGACCTAGTTTTATTCTTGAGATCATTCTCCTTCTGCTGGTCTAACAGCACAGATATACACCGAAGCTAACATCTAGTCTTCTCCAGCATCATTGCTCTAGTTCAGGGGTCGGAAACCTGCGGCTCTGGAGCAATATGCGGCTCTTTTGTTCTTATACTGCGGCTCCGCATGGTTTTGGAAAATAAATTATATTCATTTAACTGAAGTGTATTTTATTTGTGTTAGTTATTTTTTAACTTGTAGTTCTAAATTGGAAGATTATTGTGATCTTGAAATATAAAAATAAAGTTATATTTCATTATTCTTCGTCGCTCAAAATAAGCGCCACACTAGCGGATACTGGTATACCTGCTGAAACGCCGTGCATTTATTGAGACGTTCAACCCCAGGTAGGTAAAGTATGGAGAAATGTAAGAAAAGAAAAATATCTGAAGAAAATAGAACATTTAATGATGCCTGCGTAGATTAATTTGAATTTATTTTTGATGAGAGTGGCCTACCAGTATGCCTAATTTGTGGATTGTTGATCTTCGGATCCACATACATATGTGAGCAGCTATTCTCCACCGTGAACTATGTTAAAAACAAATATCCCTCATACCTCACAGACGACAGCTTACAGTCCTGCATAAAGATCAAAGTTACTTCATACAGCCTGGATTTGCAGACGCTGTGTGCAGAGGTTCAGGAGCAGAAGTCCTATTGTAAAGATATCACGGCAGACCCAATGATGTTTGCATGAACATGTTTTTCAGCATCTTTTTATTGACCACTTTTCACACATGGTTGCTGTACACACACAGCCGGCTGTAGATTTCCAGCACATAGCCTGACACATACCAGCACAACAGCTGAGAGAGCGCAGACTTTAAGGTGGCGAGGCGTGATTGCGGATGCCAAAGGCCATGTAAGGATGATGGCTCACAACAGGTTTTGTTTGCTACATTCTGCATCTACAGTGACTCCTGGTGACTGTGTGGGGACAGTTGGTTATAGTGCACCTGAGGTTATGCTTGGTAATACATATAATGAAGCAATAGACATGTGGTCTCTGGGGCTGGTAACTGTGGAGCTTGCTACAGGGGTGCCACTCTACCCTGTGGAAAATGAATATGATGTTTTGAAATTCATCATAGACACGCAGGGTCAGCCACCAGATCATGTTCTAGACTCTGGCTTGTACACTAATTACTATTTCATATGAGACGTAGTTGTCTTGAACAACTAATGGAAGCTACCACAGGACCTCAAAATGACCAACATTTATTTGTCAGCCTAATTAAAAAAATGTTGGCCTTGGATACAAACCAGCGCATAACTTTTCCACCCTGGCCTCTCGGGAGTAGCACAGGGAGACAAAACCTTGCGCCCTCTCAGCAGCCTTCAAGTTGGAAAAGAGAAAGCTCACACAGAAATAATCTCCAGCATTGCTTCGTTGACCCCGGACAAAAGTGACAAAAACACAAGCAGGGATTGGAAAAGGCCATTAACAGCAAATTACACTGCAAGAATTAATTAAGCTGCTTTTATATCACTTTGGCTTTTGTTTTGTTTTGTTTTAATTTTCATTCCCCCCACCCCAACCAGTCACAGCAGATGGCTGTCCCTTCCTGAGCCTGGTTCTGTCGGAGGGTTCTTCCTCTTTGAAGGGAGATTTCCTCCCCACTGTCGCTAATTGCTTGCTCATAGGGAATCATCTGATTGTTGGGGTGGTCAAAACTCCAGCGGAACTAGCAATTCTTGTGAAATTCTTTTTTAAAAGCCTAAAAAAAATCAAAACAACCTATGGATATTGTCTTGAACTTGGCCACAATTTTGCTTAAAATCCCTAAAGTAATCCCTGTGTCAAGTTCTTGCCAATATTCAAAGCGGAGCAGCAGACAACTTACCATCACATCAGTCCTTCAATCAGACCTAATTCGATACAAATTGGGGGAAAAATGGATGTATATTAAATAAAGCAGCTTTAAGCATCAGCTAATTTTTGTTTGTAATTCTTTTTAAATATAGTGCTACCCTTTAGCCTCCTAGTAGACATACCTGTGTTATAAATGTGAAAATCCTCTTAGTTTTTTGTTTTGTTTTGTTTTTTTAGAAAAGTTGAGCTCTGACCTTGAAGTCAAGATCCCTGAGATTTAAACCTTAAAGAGATTTTCAGCAGATGCAACCATGGTATTGATTTGAAAATTCTATGTTGCCTCGTACTTGAGTTACTGCATTTACAAACTTGGGTGTCCACTGCGCCCCGCCATATACCAAACTCAAAAGATTAAGTGCTGTTTTTTTTAGTTCTTTCATAAAGTTTACAACACACAAATAAGAAAAATAGGAACACTATTGTCATTTTTGACAACACTATTTTCTTTTGTCTTTTGTGTGCACACAGTCTGTGTCAACACATAGGGGAACACTGACACTTCATAAGATTTTCACTGTGTTTGTCTAATTCAGCCGCAACTTTCGGATTTTTCACATAACAAGCAGCATGAATTTTGTCCCTCATCATTTCAGCTGGAAGCACTTTATAAGGTGGTCTTTCACATGAACATTGATGTTTCTAATCCTGGAACCCTGGGCAGTTTATATAATAAGTTTCATCCAGACTGAGAAATGTGTCTAGAAGAAGCATTCGTCAAGCAACTTTGCTGACTATTGACCCAAAGAGTCTTGCCCACTTTCTCACCAGGATCCTGATGCATGGGCTTGGAATGGTCACTGTCACTATCTACGAGGGGAGTTCCATGAGGCTGAGGAGAGCTACGAGTGGAGCTTCAAATTCCAGCAGAAGCCATCAGACTCTCACATTGTCTTGCTCCGCCTGGGATCCAGCTACTTTATGCAGGAGAAGGTCAGATATTAAGACAGGCATCACTGTCTGATCAGTCAGACAGTTACTCATGTGTACTGGGTCTGCTAGCATCTATTCACTGTGTGAGAGTTTACCTCATGCATTTTTCAAGAAAGAAACAAAATGGACCAGCCATATGTCTTGGAAAATAACAGCAAAACTCAAATGTGACTTAAAACATCTCATGTGAAACCACAAAGTTATACAGTGTAACTCTGTCTTATTTTTTTTAACTCTCAGTTTCAGGAAGCCAAGGTTGTGTACCTGCAGGCCTGTGAACAGTCTCCATCCTGCCTGACCTGGCTAGGCCTGGGCGGTGCATGTTACCGGGTAAAACTCTTACCTTCAGAACATTGATGGGAAGGATCGTATTAAACTCAAAAAAAGCTTCTATGTTGTGCCTTCAGAATTATTTTTGTTATATGGAAAATAAAATAAAATTGTAAAACCTGTGATTCCACTCAGTGTATGGTTCAAGGTTTTAAGTACACTCCTGTTTCTATTGTTAAAAGAAATACTTTTGAAATACTAGCTTAAAAGAATAGTTGGGAGCCCTACTCTGTCTGTTTTGAAAGGAAGTCACCCTTTGTTGTTTCAGTGGGCATTTCTGTGTCTGTTTAGTTGGAGGAGTTTTGTACAGCTGAGGAAGCTTTGACTGAGGCCAACCATTTGGACAACCAGAATGCAGAGGTCTGGGCTTACCTGTCTCTCATTTGCCTCAAGGTGAGTGATGATAAAACACTATTAATGTCATTATTAATGTCCTCCGTCTGTATTTCAAGATAATCTCACGCACAGTGGCCTGACACATCCCCTTTTATGAAGACTACAGAACAGCGTGTCTTTGTTAGAAATTAAAAAACAATCTACAGGAGTCAGAAGAGCTGAGTGGTTAGGGTTATGGTAAGAATTGAGTCAGTTTAAGCTTTGGAATAAATGGCTCTTCAAGATGAGGGATGGGTTCAGAGTAAAAAGCCCTAACCTCCATAGAATCTAACGCCAACATCCATCCTTTTGCCCTTTGGTAAAGCCAATGCTTTAGTCACTGAACACACTTTAATGAGACACCAATTAATTTGGGAAAATGCTTGTGCAAGTAGACGCTGCATGTCGATCAATATGATAAATGGCTAAAATCAATTCAGGAATGCAGACTTTGAAGTAGGACATTTTGATTAGTATCAATTAATATTAGTGACTAACTGTATTTTAATTGAGCTCTCTTTTAACCTTGACACCTTGTCTTCTGCACATGTGAAGTACTCACAACATATTACTGACTCTGTGATTCAAAAATCTGCAGAAATCAGTAGTCTGATTATGACTCATGACATGGAACTGAGTTCTGCTTCCTTCGATTCGCGGTGTTTAAAGATACTGGACAAAGTGGCACCTCCACAAATTAGAAAAGACAGCATCGCTAAATCATCTCCTTGGATCACTAAATCTATTTGCAGTTTTAGTTGGCTTTGCCTTAAGACTGAGTACCTGTGGGAAAACCACAAAATGTCCTATTTACAATAGGAAAAGGGAATGCCAAGGTTCTATTTGACACTGAGAATAACATTGTTTCTCCTCCAACACCAAGTACACCAGGTTTTTCAGATAAGGACTACAACTCCCACAGATCGCCCTTTCGATCATAAACTCTCACACATCCCAAAATTGTAGAATCTTTTCACCCACTTTCTTTAGCTATGTATGTCAAACACTACTCCAAATTAAACCCTCAGCAAACTCAGCCAATGTCTTAAGTTTTAGACTCCATTTGGCCCTCTGTGGTCAGGCTGTGTCCTAGAGTTCTTTAAACAGGTGGTTATCCAACCAGGTTTGAAAAAGCTAAATCTGGACCTTACACTAAACACCAGCTATAGACCTGTTTCAAAACTTCCTAAATTGCTAAAGTATTACAAAAACAAAAATAAAAGGTGGTTGGGACACGAAGGTGTTGGAGAAGCACAATATTCTTGCTAACGTTCAGTCTGGTTTTAGGAAGTTGCACTCCACAGCTCTCCTTAAAGTTTCGATCTTTGGATGGCTGCGGATAAGGGTGATTGCTCAGCCAGCCCTTGGTTTGCCTGACCTTATCTCAGCCTTTGAAATGTCAAATCTCCATCAAATCTTAGTCCAACAGTTAAACTACATGGTAGGGATCTCTGGCTCTTTCTTAGAGTGGGTCACTTCATTTCTTGCTTATAGAACACTTTTGTCCTCATTGGGAAATTTTGGGTTTGAAACGGCTGCATTTCCATGTGGCATTCTGCAAGGATCTGGTTTAAGTCCCTTGTTATGGGGCAGCGATAGCTCAGTAGGTAGAGTGTTCGCCCCGTGATTGGAGGCGGTCAGGGGTTCAAATCCACCGAATGGCTACCCTGAGGTACCTTGGGCAAGGTACTGTCTCTACACACTGCTTCCCGGGTGCAGCATTGGTAGCTGCCCACTACTGAAGATGCACGTTGATGCCTTTATTTCCACCTGCCTAGACTATTGCAATGCTTTGTTTTTGTGCCTGTTTAAAGCATCTATTAATTGCTTCCAATCTGTCCATAATGCTGCTTCAACACTTTTAACTCAAACTCATAAGTTCACTCATTGTTAGATAGTTCAAAATCTTGATTCTTACTTCTGTGACCTTACAAGATGAGGCCCCTAGTTATATCATCAATCTTTTCAATCTTGTCTGCAGATAAAGGTCTCCTTGTGATTCCACATGCCCGTATGAAAACTAAGAAGGATTTTGCTTTCCAGACTTTAGTGCCAAAACTGTGGAACAGCTTATCGCTTTTGCTGCACACCAATGACTCTGTGGCTTCCTTTAAAAAAAAATGCCTAAATGCATCTATTCAGACCAGCAATTTGGTAAAAATTTTGTTTTGTGTTGTTTTTCTTGATTCAGGTGTGTTCGTTTGACTGTATTTTTAATATTTGTGTAAAGCACTTGTCTTGAAAAGGAGTATACAAACAAACTTTACTTACTTACATAACTAAACACATGGTCTGCAACTCAATTAACACTGATGAACCTTTTGTTTTCAGTCTGGCAAAAAGGAGGAAGCAGAGAAGTTTTATAAATATGCAATACGGGTGAGTTTGGTTGTTGTTTTTGTCAGTCACTGTAATTTAACATATCAGTGGGGCGGTTAGTGATTTACTATTAATTATCCATGTTTTAAATTCTATATTAAGTAGTGATTTTTTTAAAAGAAAAAGTAGACATGCAACATTAATACTGAATATAAAACAACAAAAACAGCTTCTCTGTGAGTTCTCTGTAGCATTTGATTACTAAGGATATAGATTTCCTGCTGTCCTTGATTTTCTCGTAAATTACATTAGAGCCCTGTAATCCTTTATTTTGTCACAGTGAATCAGTTTTTACTAAATATTGCATCCTCTTATCCAAGGTGAATTTTACATTAAGATGCTGGTTTCTTTAAAAAAGAAAAAACATTTTCTGTTTTCTCGGTATCCACAGTTCAACCTACAGATGGAGTCACTCCACAAAGAGTTTGAAAAGTTGAAGAATCAGCTTCGCTTCCATCATCTGGAGTCATGCTTTGAAAGAAGCACTGAAGCAAAAGAATAAATCATATGTCCAATTATGTACACATTTTGAAACAACATTTTATTGGGTTTTCAGCATGTGTAGTGTATGAAAATTAAATACAGAGAGTTCAGATGTACATGATGACTTAGATTTCACAGACAGTGAGGATAAGTAACCGGTTGAGCCATAAAAGTTAAGCTCTGATCAATATCAACATAACAAACACAGTTAAAGCAACACCATAATCTCAAATCTATATAAATCAATTGCAATATAGTGTTGTTGTTTTTTTGTTTAAATACAAAAACAAAGAAAGGAGGCTATATGGTGACTGGTACCAGCAGGATATAAAACATTTACTATTTCACATTTGATGTCATTCTTTTGTTATCATTTATGCAGGAAAACAAGCCCTCATGACACTTTGTGGTGTTTTTGTTCTAAGACACCTTTCAAAATTTTGGCACAATCCTCTCTGTGTTGAAAGGAAATGTTGTGAAATATTCTTTTGAGCTTGTCAAATAGTTCACGAAGGATGTGTTAGAATGGGCCCTGAATAAATTTCCTTTAAAACCAAATGGATTACAGTGACCAGTTCTTTGTTTTGCATGGGTTTTCTTTGTAACATACTGTATTTTGATATTCTTTTAATGCCGTTTTTAAACTAGGCATCTGAGTGTTGGTGTGATCTATTGCAGAGAGATCATTGTCTGACCCGTGAAAACATATCTCTCAGCCACGGCGAATCCTCATAGAGGCGAGGGTCACCCAGATACTCTGAGGTTCTCTTGTAGAAGTAGTAGTACAGCACAGAAGCTGCAAACAGGAAATTATGTTAGGAGGCTTTAAAATATACGGATATTTAATTTACAAATGTCTGTAAATTAGAAACATGACTGATGTGAATGTAGATTTTCATATCAGTGACTCTTTTGTAATGAGTTTGCACAGTGATCAAGGTTATTCAAGAGATTTATGTGATTGCAAAATAAACAGGGAGAAAACTTGAAAATTCCCACCAGTGTTTAAAACTGAGTGAGGAAATGGCTGTGCTTACACACTGAGTAGCTGTCTGGACAGGTCTTAAGTGGCAGACAAAGCAAAGACAAATAGCACATGACTCTTCTCATACGCAGATCACCTACAGAGAGTAATGCCAGCTAGACGATGCAAGCTTTTATCCACTTATGAGCTTATACATGTATAAAAGTGGCACCCACATGGTGATGAAATGTGATGTCACTGCCTGGAAGAGTAACCAGTAACAACAGGCGACAGGTAAAGGAAAAATAAAAAGGTGGGTGAAATGATCATACAGTTTACTAGGGCATTAATGGGTTGTTGTTGTTGTTGTTTTTAGCTTAAATCTGTACTGCTGTTTTGAACTGCTTCACCTGCTTGTATTGTCTCCATGTATTTTCTCCTGTCTCATTTGCAAAATCTAAATTTAATTATTCAGTCAAAATGTAAACATTTATTTTACAAGTTAATATGTATAATCAGATTATAGAGTGGAAAAATCCTAACCTTTTGTACTGTATACTCTTCAGTGTTTACATGAAAACATTCTAAATGAAAAGAGGTACATTTGTTGCATGAACTTGTTATCTTACCAGCTCTTTGGAACACAAAAAGCACCTGAAGACCGTCGGTCCAAATAAATCTGTTTGTATTTAACCAGCGCAGATTCTGAAAGGAATAGAAGGATGACAAAAAGGCCACTTTGTGATAAATTCAGAGACTTTGTACATTATAGATAATTTAACAATTACAACCAGAATGATGAGAAATGATGATGTTATTTTCTCAGTCTCATATAATGACACATTTTAACCAAGTTTTATCTTCTTTCTTTTTTTCTTTCTCATGATGTTTTTCTCTTGGCAGTTATTAAAATCAAAATGAAAGCATTTTAAATGTCTGTAAGCTTGTTGTACAGTATCTCCCCAAAAAAGTGGCATAAAAATGTGAATTTTCCAATCTGGCATTTTCGCCTTTGTTTTTAACGACGTACCATAAGCCAAGAATGGAGAATGATGCTGAAGGTCAAGTAAAGAGCAGATAGCATTAGCATGGTTCTAAACCGCTCCAGCAATATGGCAACCAGTCCAACCTGGAACACATAGGTGTTGAACAGCATCAACAGAATGATGATCAGGTTAAACAGGATGGCAATGTCCTGGATTCTGTTGAAGAAAAGGAAACAGTATAAGCAGCAGAAAAAACAATGATGAAAACAGGAAGAGCTTGTCGGCAGGATTATTGTCTTGTCTAAAATACATTTTACTTCAGCATTTCAAAAGATTCAGTGCAGATAAATTGAGAATTATTTCCCCCCCTTGAGCTAGAGGCTGCGTTAGGCTGAAACAGTGAAAAAGTTTGACGTACATGAAAAGTACCAGCTGCACAGCTGGCTCAGTCCTCAGCAGCTCACTGAAGGAGTTGACAAACAGGTCAAAGGAGAGCAGGCTGAGCTGGATCAGTAACACCAGAGAGTAGTTGCTGGTATGGAGCGTCTCCGGCCCGAAGGCTGGGCGCCCGGGCGGACTGTGGTTCCACTGCGGATCCAAGGCTGCGCTGCACCCTCACACACACACATACAAACATCAATCGAGTTCTTTTTTTTGTTACAGTTTTGGGGTCTCAGTAAGGCATTCAAATGTCTCCACTCTCAATTCCCCAAATGTAATTAAAACATGACTGATGCCAAATGAAGCATATGTTGTTCAAAGCAGTCCTGTTCACTGGGTAAAAATGTATGTCCTTTCAAAAGAGGGAACGGAGTCCGTTTTAGGGGTGAGCTGCCAGGAAGTCGACATGTCAGAAGTGCTGATTTTTATAGCTCCAACACCAGCAGGTGTGGTAGCACGGTACCGTATTTGTTGTGGCTGAAACAGCAAGGTCTCTGTTGGGCCTCCATATCAAAACCGATGAGTAATCAGCACCGCAGTGAATGCAGCAGAGATCCTGTGGAAGGAGACAGATTAGTATTCTGCGACAACGCTTCAGGGTACACGCACACAAAAAAAGGCCAGTCTCATTTTATAGAAAAGCACCCAAACATTGTGCAAATTGCCATTTAACTGCCTTACACTCATTCAGCTGCTTCGTACTACAAAACATCTCCTGCCCCAGGTAAGTTACACTTTTATACCCTGAAGGGAGGGATACCTTGTTCAGAAGTGACAGTTTTATTGGGAACCCACACTGCTCTAAGGCAGTCCCAGAGTTCTGATGCCAGGAAAATATAGAATAACTGCTAAGTCAATTCACATAAATGGGAAATGTGTTACATTTCTAGTGGTTTCTAGCTAAATTTGAAATGCAGTTTAGACTTCTGCCACCTGCTTGTTGTCATTAGTTTTTATTGAGTGGACAGTGTCCAAAGTGCTAATCAAAGCATGAGAAAAAACAAAACAAAAAACATATCAGAACTAACTGACTAATTGTTTGTCTTTAAGCAGCTTCTCTCTCAAAAGAGCCTCATTTTCTGATGACAGAAAAACAGATTCTGATTTATTCCTTCCCAGCACATTTTATCCATCACATTAGGAAAAAAAGAAAACAAAAACAAAACATCTTTACTCGATTTTTATAGAGAAACAGGTCCTTTCACTACTGTTGTCACCCCTCTGTGTATTTCTTAAGTAGGTACTTTAAAATCTTTGCCTGTGCCAGGATCGCTATCCAGCAGGATCCTTCACACCGACACCAGGTTGATCCTCTTATGATCCCCGTATTTATGGCTTGGCACGGCCCTGGCAGGTGTGAGGAAGATTAGGACTATTTCTAAACCCTGAACCATCAACTACGAGGCTACTTCTTCTTGAAAGCTGTCCCACTAAGTTTCTAGGTTAGCAGCCCTACCTACCCCTTGGCAAAAACTGCTTTAGCAGTATGAACTAGAAAATAACAACATGTATTAAATGCAAAAAATTTTAAGTGCAGTGGACAACAACATATATGGACTGTGAGCAACTTCTGCTATTTTGTTAATTGATCAAAATGATCAAAAAAGTATATAAGTCTAAGACATAATGTTTTCCCTGTGTAAAGAAACGTGCTGTAAGTTAAAAAAAAAAGTCTTTGTTGTTGTTAGTGTTCTACCAGCTTGTAGTTCTTAGTACTGCAATACTTAATCTTCTTAGAAACATCAACAGCTTGTTGCTTTAGACAGAAACAACAGAAACAATGACATTCTTCAAGTTTCACAACATAAGCTACTGAAACTGGATCACAAACCTGCAAACGAAGGTGGGTTTCAGGGGCTGAAGAAGTATGCAACTCTCCAAACGACGCATGTGGCCACCATCAACACAGCGTGCAGCAGATTGGCAGCTTTTGTCTGTCCTGGTAACAGGTCTGATCCCTCCAGCTCTCTAAAAGACAGGCGCAAAGGTTTAGTCATGTGCCACCAATCATGTTGAGTTTGTTTACACACAGCTTGTTGAGATTGTAATGATGAATAAAGCTGTGCAAGCACAGTTGGATGCAATGTTAGTGATTACCTGTGATGAGTCTATGATTAATAGAGTGAAAAATGTTCCCAGTGACTGTGCCACATTTCCTTTTAATTTGATTGCAGGTTCTTCAACCACATGCAAGTGAATGTTGACGGGTTACAAATGGATGCTGTGGGAGCTTTTTTCCCCTAGCTCTTTCAATCACATTTCCATTCAAGATTACTGTAATGCTTCTGGGAAAGATAATTAAAGTCAAGCAACTAGGAAACTGTTGTCATCTAGTGGTAAGTATGTATTATTGCATACACAGTGGCAGACCACAGAGAATCAGCAGAACAAGCTAGATTGAAGTCAATATCAATTTGATAATGAAATAATAAATTAATGTACTTAATTGTAACATATTTGTTGATTGTTTGGGGGAAAAAAAGATGATTCAGACCAGGCTTTCTTCAGCTCCCACTTTGGATTTGGGAGACAGACACCCTCTCTACTTTTAAGATTGGACTTAAAACTTTTCTTTTTGATGAAGCATATAGCTAGGCCTGCATCCGGTGGCCCTGACTCCTCCCTTTGGCCCTGTTACGGCCCTAGCAGGGCCTCCTCCTGAAGGTGCCTGTGTGGGCATGTCCCACTACCTCTTCTGCCTGAGGTGCCACCTTTTCCCTTTTGTGCAGTTGACTCTCGTCAGTAATTAAAGAGATTTAAGCCCAGGGAAAGGTGAGCTCTGGCCAGAGTGCCATGTGAGTGGTTACAACTAGTGAGCTGTGTGTGTGTTTGTGGTGGTTACAGCTAGTGAGCTGTGTGTGTGTTTGTGGTGGTTGCAGCGGTTGCAGCTAGTGAGCTGTGGTTGCAGCTAGTGAGCTGTGTGTGTGTTTGTGGTGGTTGCAGCTAGTGAGCTGTGTGTGTGTTTGTGGTGGTTGCAGCTAGTGAGCTGTGTGTGTGTTTGTGGTGGTTGCAGCTAGTGAGCTGCGTGTGTGTTTGTGGTGGTTGCAGCTAGTGAGCTGCGTGTGTGTTTGTGGTGGTTGCAGCTAGTGAGCTGCGTGTGTGTTTGTGGTGGTTGCGTGTGTCTTTTAGTTGAGAAACTTTAAAACTCTTTAATTTAACTCTTTTGCCTCCTTGACTCCTTTTTTTCCTGACCTGGACACTTTTTGTTACTTCCCCCTCACTGCCTAGACCCCTCAGGGGAGCGTAACAGGCCCAGGCTACTGAAGGCTTCCCATCAGCTTGTTTCTTCTTCACTCACCTTTTTCCATTAACTGTGTGTTTATACACCACTCTACATTTAATTGATTTTTTTAATTTGATTTTATTGATTAGCATTCAAATATCTCAGTGAAGACAGAACAAAGATCTACCACAAAGCAAGAAAGCATGAGACAAGGCTAATCAAAAGGTATTGGCTGAAGCACTTGCTTATTACGCCAACCCTTTTAACAAAAGATCTTTTTGCATGCAGCTCCTGTACACAGGGCTCAAAGCAAATAATAAAACAAAGCAAAAACAAACAAGAAGAAAAACTTTCCACCTTAGATAAGATGTGTTTTCCTCTAACAGAAACACATCTCTGCTTTATATTTGTCCTTATCTTGTTTTGTTTTTTTGTTTTTTTTAAGAAATCTTTTCCCCTTAAGTCATATTGACTCTGACTTTGAACAGCTTCTGAGTACTGGGGCAAAGCAAGTTATTTTGTGCTTTATACATTATCTGTGCCATTTCATATTCAACTAAATCATAAAATTTCAGGGTATTCAGATTAATAAACAAAATGTTAGTTTGTTCTATATAGTTTGATTGGTTTATAATTCTTATAGCTCTTTTTTGTAACTTGAAAATAGGAAGTGTGTTCGTTTTATATGCATTACCCCATATCTCCAGACAGTAAGTCATATGTGGAAGCAACAGAGTACAATAAAGTGTATAATGGGTTTTTTTGTTTTTTTTTTTTTGTCCAGGACATGCTTTGTTTTATAGAGAATAGCAATGGTTTTTGACATTTTTGTTTTCACATGGTTTATATGATACTTCCAACTCAGCTTATCATCAATTATCACTCCAAGAAATTTATTTTCGTACACTCTTTCAATTTCAATTCCATTAACCCTGATTTTAGTAATCGCTGGTAATCATTGCTTCCACAGC